AGAGAGAGAGAGAGAGAGAGAGAGAGAGAGAGAGAGAGAGCTTGGTGACATTGGATCCAGACTCGGCATGGGACTTCAAACATTTTAAAGAGGGATTATTTGGGACGTGTAACGAGACTTGGTGTTGACGACTTTCCCATCTCCCCCTTCCTCCTCTTCGTCTGATCCCCTCCTCCTCGTCTGTGTATGTCTGGACCTGGCGCCTCTTTCCTGTGTATAGCGCCAGGCTCCTTCACACCTTGTGGTGGACATGATGTATGTTTGGTCTGTGTTGCAACATTGATTGGGCTAGTTAGTGGTATTCTAGCATTCTGCTATGCTGTCTTGTATTGCGTGCGTGATAGAGGTCAGTCTCGGTCAGGTCAGGATTTGTATCTAAAGTCTTCCCTGTGCTATAAAGCACCATTTTGTATGCATCGGACTGCACATTCCTTGTTGAGATTCTACTTGCACTGCATTGTCCATTCAGTCCTTTTTATCACATTGTGGATCCTCGGTTTATATGTGCATCGCCCAACTGGGCATGTAACATAATGGTGTTGAGGCGACGTTGTTCGTTGCCTAATCGGACAAGCCAATCGAGTCTAGCTCGTTCCTCAACAACATCGAAGAAGGTGATAGAGGATGGATTTGGAAGGAGGGTGGAGGAGCACGAGCAGTGAGGGGCGTCTCAAGTGATGAAGGTTGCGACGCCTCGGGGTCATCCGATGGAGAGGGTGTCACCGAGGAGGGGGGAGACAGACGGATTGTCGATGCCAAATGGGCCGTCGGTGGGGCGGGGGATATCACCGGCGGGCTGGCCGGCAAACAAGTTGTCGATGCCGGGATGAGGTCCTGGGGACTGTGTTCAGGACGAGGAGGGACCTGTGTCTGCGGAGGGGGGTGATGCGGAGGTTACGGGTGGATGGGCCGATGATTGGTGGGTGAACTGTCCAGCATTGGGGCAGTTAGTTTGTTGGTGTCCTAACTGGCGACAACGGAAACATCCACCCTTTGCCTGAAGGTAGGCTTTTTCCTCGGGTGTGAGTTTCTTGAGGCAGCCCGGGGGGGTGGTCGGGGAATGGCGGCTGGAGTGATCTCTCTTTTCCGTTCGCATGAGGTGAATGGCAGAGAGTTCGTCGGGGGAGAGTGATGTGGTGTTTAGTGGATTGGAGATGCTGTCAAGGTCGGGGGAGGTGAACTTGTCCGAGGAGGTGATGGAGGTGGTGTCCTCGGAGGCGATGTTGTGGAAGAAGCAAGGGCGGGGAGGGGCCAATGTAGGTGCGGTCTTGTAGGGGGAGAGGATGCGGTCGAGTTGGAGGGTACGAGTGAGGAGGTCGGCGAGGGTCATGGGGGGCTCGTGGACAAGCGCGGCCGGCAGGTCTTTGCGACAAACGCGGTTAACGCGGGAGCCGACAGAATTGGTCGATATAGTCGTCGACCGTTTTCTGTGGGGGAAGTGGTGGAGGAGCGGAATACACAACTTGTGGAATGATTTGGGTATAGTTGGGGATGGTTGAGGTAATAGTGGAGGTGGATACGAGCGGTTTTGATTGGGGGGGGACCATTGATGAATGTGTGACAACAGGGGTTGTTGTCTTGGGCGAGGGGGGAGGTGGAGCGACCATGGTGGAGGTCGTGGTGGATGAGGGTGGGGGTGTACAGGTGGACGATGTTGGTGTGGAGGTTGAAGCGGAGGTTTGTACAGTGGAGGGGGTGGGTTGGGGTGTGGAGGAGGGGGGTGTGGTCGTGATGACGACCGTGATGGAGGGGTTGTCCCCTTCGAGCGTGGTGACACGGTCGGATATGGACGACACGGTGGCCTTTATGTCGTCCAGAGAGGTTTGGAAGGTGTTGAGTTCCTGGAGGATGGCGGAGAGGTCGGAGGTGGCGGTGTTTGCTGGTGGTTGTTCGCCTGCGAGGTTGCGGGCGATGCTATCGACCGAGTTGGTGCGGATGTTAGACATGTTGATGGAGGATGCGGCCATGTCAGGGGAAGAGGGGGTGGAGGATGCGGTCGGAACGGATGTGGAGGATGCAGCAGCAACGGTGGAGGCGGCAGCGACGCGTTGGGAGTTCTTGGTGTTGCATGGTGGCATGTGGAGATTAGGGGGAGGGGGAGGGG